AGAAAGTCATGTCATCCATTCACAGGCTGCATTGTCCAAAATATATTCAAAAGCAGAATTAGTACCACAAACTCCTGGTGTGAACTCTCACCACAGTATGTAGTCATGCTGCTTTCATTTCTGCCCAATAGGTTCGTGTGACTGTGTTTCCCTCCAAGACTGCAGCTCAGTATTCAGGAGTACCTTGGTGGATCATCCTAGTGGCTATTCTCGCTGGGATTTTGATGCTTGCTTTATTAGTGGTTATACTGTGGAAGGTAAGTCATATCTGGCATTTGAATTTCAGAACATAAACTTCATGTTTTAAAAAATGGGAGTCAGCACTGATAGTGTTTTCTTTTTCATTGCTTCCTTTTTTCTAACATTTTATTATGAAACTCTTTTGACATAGCAAATTTGATGAAAATTTTACAATGAACAGCTGTATATTTACTGAATATTGTATTTAAAGCATATTTGTACACAACAAGTTTCTTAAATGAATTTTGGTGTCTGTCTCACATAATTTAGCATGTTTAGCAAATAACAAGTGTAGATTTTACTACTTTAGCATTTTCTTCACCTAAGATTGAAGTCTGGATCTAAGCCAAATTGTTAGGGTGTCATAATAATCTGAATCTGTATCCCTGCTAATTTCAGTTTCTGTGAAGAATGTTCATAGCAGCCGTTGGAGTTGGTTATGCTTACAAGATTCTGAATAGAAAAGCATGACGTGAATGAGTAACTGTCTCAAAGGGGGGTCACTGTAGCATGTATCAAACCTGAGGAAGGTCTAGGTTCAATATGATGTTCCTCATTAGAATTTGGCCCTTTGACTCAAGTAAAATGTAGTATCTTCCCCTGCTTCTACCAAAGAGTCTACATTATGAAAAACTGTATGAGATGGATACAAATTCCTACTGCCAGAGATTACAACCTAAAAATTTTGGATTATTCACAGTGACAGAGGCTTATAATTCCTTATGTGCAATTCCAAAAAGCTCTGAAAACAAAGTATGTAATGACTTATTTGGCAGAAAAACCTGACGTGATGTGAAGAGAGGCTACTTTAAAGTTTTCATCCTTTGATTAATTTCACTGCAGAAATACTAACATTTTGATTATAGGAGCATTAGGTATGCAGTGTATTACTTTTTTTAAACGCCAAAAATTTTGGATTCTCAAACATGTCCAGTCTGGAGGGTTTTGGATAAACCAGCAACCCCCTAGAATCAAACCATTCTTTTCCTTTCCTTGGATCCAAAAATATAATACCTACAGGTTAAAGATAGTCTTACTTGCAAATATTGGGCATCTGGTTTTGCTTTATTTTTTTCAATTGCATTTTGCTAATTTGAGAAAATTTTCTGATGTCCTCTATTCATGTAATTGAAGCTTGGGAGTCTGCTCATAACAAAACTCCTTCTGGTATGGAGTTTTTAGCCAGTTTTACATCTGATGTTTACCTCAGGCAGTAGGTTCCTCTGGCAAACATAGCCAGTCAATATAAAAATATTTTTTCAAGGAGATGCCTTGAAGAAAAAAAAATTTTGAGACAGGGTCTCACCCCATTATCCAGGCTGGAGTGTAGTGGTATGATCATGGCTCACTGCAGTCTTGACCTCCTGGGCTCAAGCAATCCTCCCACCTCGGCACCCTGAGTAGCTGGGACTACATACCACCACACACACCCAGCTAGTTTTTAAATTTTTTTGTAAAGATGAGGTTTTGCTGTATTGCCCAGGCTAGTCTTGAACTCAAGCAATCCTCCTGCCTAGGCCTTCCAGTGTTGGAATTACAGATGTGAGCCATTGCACCTGGCTTTGAAAATTATTTTGATATCAAAAAATTTAGGGTTTGATATTTGAGGATGATGTTATATTTTCTGGAAGAGGTCATAAGGATGACTTTTCCAGAGTATTTGGCAGCCTTTAAAGAGAGTGAGACAGCAGTGGGTTGACGGTTAAGAAACCTAAAATGTATATAATCTTGGGCAAATCATACCACCTCTCCGGGACCTCTGTTTGCCTCATCTGTTAAGTACGTTGATTGGATTATATGATTTCATTATTTTAGGAGTTTGTTTTTTTTTTTTAAAGCTCTGAGGTATCCAGGCTGTCAAGGGAACTCTAAAATACAAGTTATGCAACCCCACATGAGAAGTATTTTTATTACTTTATACTTTTGCTTATTAAACACAATTATTTAGTATGTTAAAAAGTCATACGATTTTAGGGTCAGAACTACAATCCAGCGGCCCCTAAACTGGAGTTTGTATATCCATGTAGAGGGCAAGGCTAAACTAGGCAGATGGAGACCCCCACTCTTGCAGAGCAGTTCAGATTGTATCCATTTTAAATGTCAGGATTCTGTTTGCAGGTTTAAAAAAAAAAAGTCCCCTGGGGTGGTCTAATCACCTTCATTTTGCTAACAAGGATGCTCATGCCCAGGGATATTAAGAATGTTGCCAAGTTGGAGGCAGGACCAGGCCTCTTGGTTCCTAGTTCATTCTGCCCACCCTATTTACTAGCACATATTATTGAAAGCTGCCCAACAACTCTGTATTGATAGAAATGTTCTGGAGCTGTACCATCCAATACGGTAGCCAATAGTCACGTGTGGCTATTAGGAACTTGGAATATGGCTGATTCAATTGAGGCATAGTTTTAAATGTAACTTAATTTCTATCTGAATAGCTGCATGGAGCCAGCAGCTCCCATATATCGTACAAAGTGAATCTAGACTTTACCTTCATGAGCTGCTGGACTAGGAAGCAGAATGTTTCGGGAGAGATTTTATTTGACCAGGTTAAATTTTATAAAAGGCAGTTCCATGGCCTTATGAACTAGATAAAAGTAAACAGGAAAAGTTCTCTATCATCGAATGAAGGAAATTATAGTAGAAAGTAGAATTATACTTATACCCATTTACAGTGACCTAACCTGAGAAGCATGGGGTTCCTACCATTTAAGGGTTATATGGTACTCAGAATTTGGGAAAATGACAGCAATCATTCTTTCATGATGGTGTATTGGAATTTGTATTGTGATTCACCCCACAGATGCAAAGGCCTCAAGTAAATGGCATTTGTTCCATAAAATTTACTGTAAAAGGCAGAAAAATACCCACAGTATATCTATATTTTATTTGGACTTGGACTAACTTTTACTTAGAGAATTTATTTTCTAACCTTTGTCTCAATAAACTGCATCTTTTGCCTCTTTTGGAGTTCATATTCTCCTGTAAGAATAAACTACCCAAAGCTACAATCAGCAGTGTATATAAGTTTTCCCTGTGATTTTTATCCTCAGGATTTCTGTTACAAAAAAAAAAAATCAATGAGCCGACTAGTGTCATCCATATGTTTTTGACCAGAGATATATGGTGATAGTGTGTTGAATGTGACAGTGAAACAATGCAGTAGCTGTTTACTGCTGGTTGACTCAAAGTGGTCTGTTTGTAAACAAGCCTCAAGTAGAAAGCAGATTAAAATCTGAGACGTTCTGTTGTTTAGCTGTTATACACGAAACTGTAAAATTGACTAAATACCTTGCTTCCTTGTAGTGTGGTTTCTTCAAGAGAAATAAGAAAGATCATTATGATGCCACATATCACAAGGCTGAGATCCATGCTCAGCCATCTGATAAAGAGAGGCTTACTTCTGATGCATAGTATTGATCTACTTCTGTAATTGGTAATTGATCAATGTTTTTTAATTGCTAGCTGTGGGACCTGCTATGGTTGTGGTGGCTAACTTTAAGAACAACAGCTTGCTGTGTGTGTCCCATTAACAGATGTTTCCAAATGTCCACACTGGCTTGCCTTGCTTGGATTTATTTCATTTCACTTGAAAGCTCAGTTTTTTTTTTTGTTTGTTTTTTTAATGCACAAAGAATCTTTCATTGCAGGTGTGTTATTTTGTGTTCTTGTTAAACGTCACCCACAGCAATGGAGAAAATTGCAATATTTATACACACAAAAAGGTTTTTAGTCTTTCATAGTAACCCAGTTTGCCATGTGTTATTAATTCAGTATGTAGCATCCTACTAAGGAGTTCAAAGATGCATAAGAAATCATTCCAGATTTCTTGTTCATTTTGGAATTTCCCACAGATGGAAGCTGTGTTGACCGCCTAATTAACCTGCTGCATGTTGGAAATGTGTTTCTCTTCATGAGGCTTCCTCACTGTCATCTTTTTGTTCTCCTTGCTATAAAGTCATGGGGAAGGCTTGGAATGCTTTTTACTGTTGCTCAGGAATCATTTTATGCTAGCTAAGCATGCACCTTTCATTTCCTGCATATCTCCTACAGGTCAAAGACCATTACAACAATCTATGATTATCAGCATGACGGGCTTTGTGGCCAACTTTAGAAGATGACTCTCTACCAAAGTTACCTTACATATAAAAATTCTAGTACAGAAATGCCCTCAACAGTTTTTATTGCGATATGTTGTGATGGAGTTTGACCATGTTTCATGTATCCAAAGATTTTATCCAACCTTGAGTCTCAGTTGATTTTAAATTTGTTTCCCTTATTTGTGAATCCATGGAAATAGGAATTGCTGGTGATTCCTTTCACCATTTATGTGGGCATGAGAGGACAGAATTACTCCTGTAATCCCTTTCCATGGCACTGTCACAGTGAACCACAATATTGCCATTTCAGCTTTACATTATCATCACCCTTAATTTCCTTCTTTGTTTAAATGGGGCAGGCAGCAGTCATATTTTGTAATAAATATATAAGTACTTTGGCCCCCCCTTTTTTTTTTGCATAGAATAATAAATCCATGTAGTAATAACCTGGAACAAAATACCTTAGTCCATTTTGCCTACTGATTTAGTGATAACTATGCATGTAATTTTATCTTGTCCCATGGCATTTTTATAACATCATTCAAAATTAATGTGTTTATTATGTGACATCAACAGTAACAGGACATTTATCAGCCATTAATATCTTTCTCATTCTTTTAAACTGCATTTTAAACACTTTTTAAAAAATTCATTAAAAATTTAATCTCAATTCAAATTTATTCAGCTATCTCAGTAAAAATATACTTTGGATCAGATTGGATATTTAAGTGAAATATATACACACATGTACACATGAACAATTTAAAGGTAAATGTGTTTTTGCAAGAGAAATTAGGGTGTCATCTGAAATTCAGCATAGTGATACATTTCTCAGGTCCTATGCAGCACATGATTTTTATTGCAGGACACAGTTACTATGTGATTTATTAATGAAATAGCTTAATTAGAAGCACACCAGCAAATCCAGGTGACATAAATTACCTCCTACCTAATAGGAGAAGTGATATGTATACTAGAGCCTCAAAGGAGAGAAAAAGATTATTAAATTGACCTGTTGGAACACTGGCATATTCAAATAGTAATTTGAAAAATACTTGTGGCATGATTTGCATTTTAGTAGTGGGAGAGGGGCATGAAATGATCTTTGGTTTATGCCTTTAAAAAATTATTCCTAAAATGATATTCTAATCTGATAATTAGGTCTTTTACATATAATATTGTCATTACTTTTAAATATGGAAGCACTGTTTTCATAAAATCTTGTTAGTAAAGAGGTAGCCTACATTGTTACAAAATGTAAAGAGAAGATGAAAATGGACTTTTCTTCCTGTTTTACAGCGGTTCTTCTCTTCCGTTGATCCCCACTGGCTCTTATTTCATTTCAACCTCTTATTCTTTCTTAAAAGAAAACCGTGTCTTTTCCCTTTAGTCCAAAGGTAAACATAGCTGAACAGAAAGCTTAGACATTCCTATTTAGTGCACCTGCTTCTTTGTGAGATTAATTAATTTCTCTTTCTCCTCCTCCTCCAGTGTGGATTCTTTAAACGCTCTAGGTACGATGACAGTGTTCCCCGATACCATGCCGTAAGGATCCGGAAAGAAGAGCGAGAGATCAAAGATGAAAAGTATATTGATAATCTTGAAAAAAAACAGTGGATCACAAAGTGGAATGAAAATGAAAGCTACTCATAGGGGGGCTCTTAAAAAAAAAAAAAATGCTTCACAGTACCCAAACTGCTTTTTCCAACTCAGAAATTCAATTTGGATTTAAAAGCCTGCTCAATCCCTGAGGACCGAATTCAGGGTGACTACACATAGTACGAACCTACAGTTTTAACTGTGGATATTGTTATGTAGCCTAAGGCTCCTGTTTTGCACAGCCAAATTTAAAACTGTTGGAATGGATTTTTCATTAACTGCCTTAATTTAACGTTCTGGGTTGCCTTTGTTTTTGGTGTGGCTGACTTACATGTGCTGGGAAAGGGCCTGCTCAGTTGCACTCAGGTGACATCCTCCAGATAGTGTAGCTGAGGAAGGGACCTACACTCACCTGCACTAACAGAGTGGCTGTCCTAACCCCGGGACTGCTGTGGCAGACATCCTTCACGTTAGCTATCTCACATTACAAGACTACGCCATTGGGGTAGTTGTATTTCAATGTAAAGCTCTGTCTTAAACTAAATGTGCAATAGAAGGTGATGTTGCCATGCTGCCGTCTTTTCCTGTTTCCTAGCTGCGTGAATACTTGCTCACGTCAAATGCATACAGGTTTCATTCCCCCTTTCACTAAAACACACAGGTGCAACACACTTGAATGCTAGTTATACTTATTTGTATATGGTATTTATTTTTTCTTTTTCTTTACAAACCATTTTGTTACTGACTAACAGGCCAAAGAGTCTCCAACTTACCCTTCAGGTTGGTTTAAGCAATCAGAGCATGGGAGGTCATCACTTTGACCTAAGTTATTTACTACAAAAAGAAAATCTTTATCAATGTACCAGAGAGTTGTTTTAGTAACTTCAAATTAAAACCTCTCCTTCATGACAGCCTCCACCCCACAACCCAAAAGGTTTAAGAAGTATAATTATAACTGTAAAGATGTTTAATTATTTCAGGCATTGGATTTTTAGTTTAGAACACTGTGTGATGTCTCTGGATTTCATACTATAATATTCAGGAATTCAAGGAGAAAGTGGGTTTGTTCACTGAACTCTAGTGCAGTTTACTCACTGCTGCAAATACTGCATATTCAGGACTTGAAAGAAATGGTGAGTGCCTATGGTGGATCCAAACCGATCCAGTATAAGACTACTGAATGAGTATCTGCTACCAAAACAGTGATTCTAGTCAGAGCATCATGGCTTTCATGTTGTTAAATGTTACTGGAACCATTTAATCAGTGAGTCGATGTTCTATTTTTTGTTTTGTTTCCTCCCCTATTTTTATTCCCCAAATTACTTTGGGGCTAATTTAATAAGAACTTTAAATTGTTTGTTTTAATTGTAAAAATGGCAGGGGGTAGAATTATTACTACTCTATTCAGTCTCTATTGAACGTATAGATAAGTGATATGGGGAGCAGCAGCAAACAGGTGCTAATTTGTTTTGGATATAGTATAAGCAGTGTCTGTGTTTTGGAAAAGAAAAAAAAAAAAACAGTTCAGAAATCTTAAACCTTAAGATACTAAGGACGTTGTTTTGGTTGTACTTTGGACTTCTTATTCACAAAAATAGTTTTACAAACTACATTTTGTTTACAAATGTTTCTGTAAAACAGGTTATAACAGTGTTTAAAGTCTCAGTTTCTTGCTTGGGGAATTTGTGTCCCTAATATGTTTAGATTGCTAAGGAGCTGATATTTTGACAGTGTTTTTAGACCTGTGTTATAAAAAACAAAAAAAGTGAATGTCCTTGAAAGGGTGTTGGGAGGGGGGATTCAACAAAGAAACAAGGATGTTACGGTGTGTACAGTTGTTAAAAATGTCATCTCAAGTCAAGTCACTGGTCCGTGTGCATTTGATACATTTTTATACTAACTAGCATTGTAAAATTATTTCATGATTAAAAATTACCTGTGGATATTTGTATAAAAGTATGAAATAAATTTTTTATGAACGTGTTCATTGTTTCAAAACACAGCATTGTATATGTGAAGCAAACTTTAAAATTATAAGTGACAACCTGAATTGTCTTTCTGTTTATTTCATCAAACCAAAGTTCAATTTTTTTAGTGTCTTATGTAATCTCAGATCAGCCAAAGATATTAGTGCCAAAGCAATGGGATTGAGGGTTTTCTCTTTTTGCTGTTTAGTTGATGCTCGTGTCTTTAATTTTACTACTTTATAAGTAAAAAACCTATAGGTATTTAAGAACCTGCAAATTGGGAGTTATCTTTGCATTGAATCTTTCACTTCAATACCTGTGCTTATGAGGATAAGGTATTACTTAGCAATGATAACAAGGCATTAAAAAAAGTTCTAATTGCTAAGCTGCTTCCTTCTTAGAACACATGAGAGCAGACCAGTTGTGACATGTATATTAATCACCAGGACTGGTTTGGCAGAATTAACTGTCAAAATATTTTCTTTAGCAAAAGATTTCATTTAGATTTGAGCAGTTTTATGAAACTTTTCTAGCTGGATTATCACAGCCCAATACAACCAAATAAAAAATATATACATATATAATGCCTAGACAATATAGTGTGCCCTGGCCTGAATAAATGTCCACTGTATTAGGTAATAGCTTTCCACTATACTTGACTTTACATAAAATCTTAGTCTTCTTGGTTCTTTGAAGATCAAACAGGTATTATCACCCAAAGAAATATGTGATTGGTATTTGTTAATGATTTGGGCCAGCGGCTATGAACATTTTTAGCCCCAGTTCACCTATCGGATATACCCAGATTAAATCAGTACAATATGTAATCATAACCTCATTGAGCTTAGCTGTGGTTTGACTAGGGCTATGGCATAAATGACACAGACTGAAGTCATGGCCCATCCAGTCACACTGCCTGTGATTCCAACACAAGGTAAGTGTTTCCTCTCAAAAAATATAGAATGCCTACCAGCGATAGTGGTATTACTACATGGTTATCCCTGGATCTATTTGGATTCATAGAGGAAATCACTGCAAACATTGATACTTCATTATTGGTTGCAAATTAGTTGCTGCAAATTCAGTGTCATGCATAGTTACGGCTTATGCTTTTCCCTTGTGGCTGAGAATATTCTAGCATGTGGTATAGTATAGGTGGGGAGTGCTTTAAAAATTGTCTACCCTGCCAGCCATGGTGGCTCATGCATGTAATCTCAGCACTCTCGGAGGCTGAGGATCCTTGAGAACACAAGTTGAGATCAGTTTGGGCAACATGACGAGACCCCATCTCTACAAAAAATTTAAAACTTAGCCAGTTGTGGTGGTGTGCACCTGTAGTCCCAGCCGCTCAGGAGGCTGAGGTGGGAGGACTGCTTGAGCCCAGGAGTTTGAGGCTGCAGTGAGCTATGATTGTGCCACTGTACTCTAGCCTGGGCAATGGTGAGATCCTGTCTTTAAAAAACTGTCCAAACCAGGGAAGTAAGGATAAGATCAAGCCTTCTACCCTAAATAAAAACATCTTAATGAGAAACTGGTCTGTAGCACACTAACCCACAATAGGACAATGTGGGAAGACAAACAGGGATTGAAAGACTTGTTTTCAAGGAGGGAAAGTGTCGCTGTTGGTGGTTGGGTTCCACATAAGTACGTCCACGGGCTGAGAATACAAATGTTGAAGAATTGTTTGATCAACTTGGATAACGTAATGTAATGATTAAAGGCAGTTCCTCAAGACCAAGAGACAGGGTCTAACCACATTGAAGGCAAGGGTCAAAGAGATGGAGAAAAGGAACTTCAGAATGATTTCAAAAGAGTGGCTATTGCATGCTAGTGGGCATCTGTTCTTCCCGTAGTTATGATTACAGTCAGTAGCCAATAAATGCTTTTTCTCTCCTGTACCTTAAAACAGGTTTTGCCAGCTCCAAAAGGCATCTCATCCAGCTGTTGGAAGATGGGAGAGCTGTACACTAGTAGCTGAGGCCAGGTCTGAGAAAGTGCTACCAACAGATCTCATCTAGGAGGAAAATCATGAGGGGATTCGTAGCCAAATCCTGACTTAGGGTAAACAAACTATAAAAAACCAGAGGAAGGAAACTGGTGTGGCCCAGTGCGGGTGGACCAGGTACCACAAAGGGCAAAACTAACAGGTAATGGCTGACGATTACACCAGAGTGAGGGAGTCAAGTGGTCAAGTGCAATTTCTGTAGCAGCCAGCAAAGCATAAGTGCCTCAGTTTTCTCTTGCCCTTGTCCTGGAGCCATTTCTCAGTTATGCTGCCTGTGCTGGGGTCATAGGCACTGTGATAATAATCACAGTTCCATGCTAGAAGTCAGATAAATTTCTTACTATTCAGCCTTCTAAAACATCTGTCAAAAATCTCAAACTACAGGGTCAGAGTGTGCTGTCTTTGTTATCTCAAAGCCTAGCAATTAAGTTTTCAGTTCACCAATAAGATTTAAGTGAGTGTTAAGCTCCCATTAATGTTGAAAGGGATGTGGTTTAATCACTATTTTCCATTTGGAAGTAAACAGATGTTTAGGGATGTTAAATTAGGCTCTGGGGATATACATAAGACATTGGCTCTGACCTTTTATAGGAAGCATATAATCTAAAACTACAGATGGTATTGACAAGCATAAGTGAATTCACTTTATAGGTAGCAGAATCTAAACCCTTGAATTAAGATATGAATGGTTGACATATAAATTCAATACCTGGCTGGGTGCGGTGGCTCACACCTCTAATCCCAGCACTTTGGGAGGCCGAGGCAGGCGGATCATCTGAGGTCAGCTCGAGACCAGCCTGACCAAATGGTGAAACCGCATCTCTACTAAATATTAAAAAATCAGCCAGGAGTGCTGGCACATGTCTGTAATCCCAGCTACTTGGGACACTGAGGCAGGAGAATAGGGAGGCAGAGGATGTA